AAGGGGGGCGTTGCTCTCAAAAATCTAAGCATCCTCAAGGATATAAGAAAATTCAACCAGATTTTCAATCTTTGGGGCTAAAGTTCTAGAGACATGATTGGGTAAAGATAAGGACGTATTTAGAAAGGCGGGTTGAGTTTCTGAGATAGGATTTTCCATGGTAGTAAAGTCTCTCTTCTACTCACTCTTTCCTCTAAGATAGTATGATGGTCTCAGTTTCTATGAGTTCAACTCAAAAAATTTAAAAGTATACATATAAAAATGAATATTTACTGTAATATCAAGTGTCTTTAAACATTTTTCTTTGGGCCAAAATTTGTCTACACGGGCTCTGCGCTTTCATGGATATTATATTTTCTTTTGTGAGCGACAAAGTTAGAACATTAGAATTAGATGTTGCTTGCAGCATTCTCACAGCATATTGGACTTCTATTGTTGGGCCCTTGGAATCCCACAGTAACAACTTTAGGCATAGGCCTGGCCTTTGTTGGTGATACTTTATAAGAGAGTCTCTATTTATATATTGTAATTTTTCATATAATAAATAGGGAGAAACATGTGATAAATAAAGGAGCTTGGGTGGGTCTTACATTAGAGAAATATAAGGCTGCATTTGGAATACGTTAGAACGGACGAGACGAGACAAATGAGTTGTGTTTCCTATTTGATGAAATTAAAAAGAATAGTAAAACAGGATACATGATTAAAATAATGGAACACTTTTATTCCATAAAAAAAGATGGAACCAACTAGAACAAGATAAGACATTTTATTAAATATTTTTCGATGACAAAATTATTACTCTTTCACTGCACATCCAATTAAAAAATAAAATCATTGTCGCAATCTTTAATATAACATTTTTTTATGAGTTAATCACCTATACATTGTCAGTTTAAAGTTTTTTTACACTGACAACCAGTTAGATCTTTGAATTGTGTCATGTCACTGTTAAAAGTAAATGTGTTTATAGTGACATGACACAATTAAGTTGTCTTGTGAACTTACATAGGTGCTTTTTAGACTTGGATCATTGAGACCATTGAGAAGATAGAATCTTTTAAGCATCCTTAGGTAATGCTTATCAAGATCCTTCAGCTTTAGTGAACAACATTTCATCTCAAAGAATTCTTGTCTTATTTTCCTATCTGTGAGTGTTCCATCACTATAAATAGGGCAAAAAAATTCAGCCCTCACTTCAGAAAGAGAAGACATAAAAAGCCTTACAGGTTTTTTAAGAGAAAAGAAACTCGTGGAAGAAGCCCAGGACAAAGATGTTACATCTGTGGAAAAACAGGGCACTTTGCTAAGGCCTGTCCAAACAAAGCCAGAAAGCCATAATAATGATCACATCCTTACATCTGAATGATCAAGACAAAGTAGAATCTCTCTATTCAGAGCAAAGCTCAGCAGATGAAGACACTGTGTTTGCCCTACAAGAATCTTTCTCAGATGATTCCAGTACTAATACAGATGACTCTAGCCAAGAGAAAGAATCAGTTTCAGTCTTCACCATCGATCAAATTGATAATATGACAACTGTTCCTCCTCCACATCCCAACGTGGAAATTGAAATATTACCCTCCAAATATGAGAAACCTATAAAGGTAATAGGTTTCCTTGATACCAGGGCACAAAAGACTATGATGAATCCAGAAATCTTACCATCAAATTTCTGGAAAAAGGAAACTACATACTTTATAGCTGCTGATGGAAAAACCTTTAAAACAAAGGTTATTTCCCGAGCACCGATGGGCATCAGACTCTTCAATGATTGCATTATTTGGTCCAGAGTCATTGGAAGTAAGCTACCCAACAAAGATCTCCTAATAGGAATGGATGTCTTCTGTTTAGCACACAAATTATTCATCCATCCAACTGGACTCAAATTCAAAAGAGAATTCAAACCTTTTGTGACAACCACCAGGTTGTATTCTCTCTTAGAAGCTCCTCCAGAATTAGGAGAAATCAAGATAAGGTTAAGATCTTTATGTGCTGATAGTCATGAGGATTTCACCCATCCAAATCCACTCTGGAAAAATTCTGATTTCTTCATACAACTGCCATTCAAGCTGAATGAGGACATAAATCCTACAAAAGCAACTCATCCAGGCATGTCTCCATCTGACCTCAAGCTAGCCAGACATGAATGCCAGGAATTGCTCAAACAAGGTATCATAGAACATACTGAATCAAACTAGGCATGCCAAGCCTTCTATGTTGAGAAAAGATCAGAAAGACTCAGAGGGAAAAAGAGATTAGTCATTGATTATAAACCCCTTAATCATTTCTTGAAAGATGATAAGTTTCCTCTTCCAAAGACTTCTTCTTTGCCTCTTCTACTAAAAGAATCTAACACCTTCTCCAAATTCGATCTCAAATATGGATTCTGCCAGTTAGGGATTGAACCCAGCGAAAGACACAAGACAACTTTTTGCATACCCAATGCACAGTACCAATGGACTGTCTTACCTTTCGGCTTGAAGGTAGCACCTTCACTATTCTAGAGAACAATGACAAGGATATTTGAACCTCTTCTAGATAATGCTATCATCTACATTGATGATATTCTCTTGTTCTCAAAAAGATATGGAGAGCCACAAGAAGCTTCTGGACAAATTCCTGGAAAGAGCAAATCTGTATGGAATCATGTTCTCAGAGAAGAAGATACAGTTAGCTCAACAAGAAATTGATTTTCTGGGTAAAGTTCTCTCAAGGGACTTATCAGCCTCAACCCCATATTGAGTGTAAAAAAACTTTACACTGATAGTGTATAGGTGATTAACTTTTTTTTATTTGAAACTTTTTTATATAATAATAACAATATATTTAAGTTAATTATAATTTATAAATTATATTTTATCAAATATTTCATATTTATGTATTTAAAAAAATTATAAAATATAAATATTAATATATTAATAACTCTTAAAAATATTATATAATAATAATAATCATAAAATAATAAATGTAAAATGTTACAGCCCAAAATTGATGGGCTAGAGGCCCAATTGATTGCCCGGAACAGGTCGTTTCAAAAGTGAAACGGGCCGTTCCGGAATAAGAAAAATGCCCAAAATTGGAGAAGCAGAACGGACTGTTCTGGTTTGAAGAACGGGTCGTTCTGGTGGGAGAAAGGGCCGTTCTGCTGGGATTGAGAAAGGGTCGTTCTGATTTTGGAACGGGCCGTTCCAGTTGAGAATTTTGCGTAGTTTCGAAGGGTCCATAACGGCCGTTCCACTTTTGGAACGGGCCGTTCCGGTAGGTGAGCCTGAAATCCTATAAATAGCGCCCCTCACCTCTCATTTTCACACATCTCTCATTCTCTCTTCTTATTCTCTGCTGTTCTCTCTTCTTTTCCTCTTCTTCTCTCTGAAGACCAAGGGGCATTTAGAGGAGGAGATCAAAAGATTCTTGTTTTAGTTCAGCTTCTGTTTATCCAGGTACGGGGAAAAAGGAAATTATTTATATGTAGAGTTACATGAGGGAATTGGGTAGAGGAAGAGCCCTTAAGATTATGATTAATTTTATAATTATTTCTGTTTGAAGAATTATTAGTCTTATTTGATTTTGTATGTATTTAAGAATATGGATATATGATTAATTGGTAAAAATGATGATCTGGGAGAGAGAATGAAATTGTAAAAAAGTGCTTGTGAGCTAGGTTTTGGAACAATTGGGGGTTTTACTATTTATGTTAAGATTGTATTAAATTGATAATTCCATTGATTATCATATTAACTTATGATTGTTATTGCTATATTACTTGATGAAATTGATGACTTAGATGTGAATTGCTTGAGATGTATGAAACTCATTATGTTAGACTTATCTGATGCGTGTATGGAATTGAACTATGAGATGTTGTGTGGAATGTGAATGAGATGTGATTGTAGTTCTTCCCACCTATGTCCAGGGGTGAGCACAGCACGAGATTGTTACATGAGTATCGTGACCTTGGTTAACATGTCAGGGGTGAGCACGGCCCGGGTATTGTACATGAGTATCGTGACCTTGGTTAACATGTCAGGGGTGAGCACGACCCTAGGTTAGGGGTAACGTGACCTTGACACAGTGTTATATCAGGGGTGAGCACGGCTCTTGACTGTTACGTGGGTATCGTGACCTTGAATAACATGTCGGGGGTGAGCACGACCCTAGGCTAGATATGCTACAGGGGAATCGTGACCTTGGCACAGTGTTATATCAGGGGTGAGCACGACCTTGGATTGTTATTTGGGTAGTGTGACCTTGGCATAGTGTGAAGTGCAAGATTTGTGATGAATGGTGTGATTGAGAATTATGACGTGATGACGATGCATGATTGATTGAAATATGACATGTTGAAATATTTATGAATATAAAGCTATAATGAGATAATATGTTGTGTTTTCTTATGTGCTATATATATAGATGTTTTTTTTTCTCACCGTATAACTTGTGGATGTTTTAGGTGATGAAGATCCGGGCTATGAGTGGCATCTAGAATGTCAACAGTTGATTTATGGGTATGCTCTAATATTGTGACATCGGGGCAGAAGATTTCTAGGACATGAATTGTATTTGTATATGGAGTTGAACCTATTAATTTGAAAATATTTTGTAACCTCTTATGTTTTATTTTCCAACTTTCATTTTCAGACTATTTTAGATATTGAAGAATGTTTCTAAAGATTTTTATGTGAACCCTTTTATCTATGTGGAAAATTTTATTTCCTTAGTTTATTTATATTATTACAATATATGTGTTGGGGTAGTAAGGGTGTCACATAAAAAATATTTTATTTTATTCTATTTAATTTTCTATACTCAATCAAACATTAAACAGGATAAAGATATATATTTAACTAAATATAATGTTCTGTTCAATTTAACAAGCACCAAATACGGGATAGGGAACATGATTTGGTTTTATTGTTATGAAACACAATATAAATATATTAATGCTGTATCATTTGGTAAAGATAAAACAGCATGGAATTAGGGGGAAAGTGAAGCACCTCGGTGCAATTGAAGGACTTTGTTCCACGAGTTGCGTGAGGAGATCTCGTTCCACCATCTGGACACATTTGGAGAAGAATTGAAGAGAGGAGCAGCGTGGGGGGAATGGACCAAATAGTGAGCGTTGGGAAGATGGGAGAGATCGGCAAGAGAGAAGTCGTCCCCCGCTAAGAAACGACTCTCCCCAAGCCTCTTATCGTACACCTCAAGCACTTTCGCAAGCTTTTCTGTGCTCTGCCTTATGGCACCCTCGTCCTGCTTTATCTTCATTCGCGGAGCGAATGCCAGCTGGAACACCAGAGTCGACGAAGGTGGGTTGAAGCTCTGTGCTTCTGCCTCCAACCATTGATCTATCGACGCCCTCGCCAACGGGTTCGTTCCGTACAGCTCCCTGTTCCCTTTCTCCCCGTGTTTCTCACACACGTAGCGGCATATCGCACGAGACTCTGGTTTCAATTATGGTTAATTAAAGGGTTATTTAAAGGAATATGAAGTGAGTGAGTGGGAAGTTACCGAAGAGAGTAATGTGGTCGTCTTGAAATGCGGGAACTTGACCGAAGGGCTGAAAGAAGTTGAGGGAATTGAGCGAGTGAGGAGAGAAGTGGAATGAAGATGAAATGAATGAGGGTGGATTAATATTTGGAACCTGGATCTTGAGGAAGGGAGGCTTCTTGTGTTCGCCTTTGGCCATGTTGACGGGGATGAGCTGGAATTGGACGTCTTTCTCGAGGAGACAGGCCAAGACCCTTGATACGGCGGTGGACATGGGTGGTCCGTACACCTTCACTGCTGCCGCTGCCGCTGCCATCTTCGGATGGAACAAGAGCCTTGCTTCTGCTTTTGCTTTATCTCCATTCCTATCTTATTAAAGAGGTAAAGGAGAGAGTCACGTTGCATGGGCCCTCCCCCTCACATCCTTACAAAACCCAATATCCAATTCTTTATTAGTATAATAATTTTTTTTGAAATAAATTCCTAAAATAAACTCCTTTTTTTTTATGATAATAAACTCCTTTTCTAATATATAAGAAACCCAAACTCTTTTATGTAACTTTCGGAATTTGATTTTTCGAAAAATCGAATTTCGATTATTATATACATATATATATATATATTTTACGTAAAAATTATTTTACTAATTATATAAATTTGTATATAAAATAATTTATAATTATAAAAATTAATATATTCATAATTTATAATATCAATAATTTATACTTTTATAAAGTAATAAATTTAATAATTTATAA